CACGTGATGGTCTATCCGTAATAACGATATCCGTATCTCGTTATTACTTACGACCACGGATGATTTAAGATTCAATCAGATGTAATTTGTATCTCACAATCACAACTCATTGTGATTAACAAATTACAAATATTTGAATCTACGGACTCTATTATTTATTTAATTGTCTATTAATTAAATAATAGATCTGCCATTTAATTGCATTAATTACATATAAAAGTATTTATGTCCAAAATTGATTGGACCTAGGGCATAATACTTACACTTATTACATTTACATTGCTTTGCTGACATTGACTTAAATGGATGCCCTGATGATAAACGATCTACAAGTGGATATGGAATTTGGTTGGAAATAATTTAGTCTCATGGTTAGCAAAGAAACAACCCACTATCGACAGATCCTCAACCAGGTGATAAGACCTTGGCAAATGCCGCGGCAAAGAGAAATTGGTTTTGGTTTGGACAAATCGACAACTTCTTGGTATGACAATACTGCTGCCACATATCTTTCTTTAAATCCGATCTTTCATTCATGTTCTAAACATATAGAACTTCTAATCGTTTTATTTATAAACGTGTAGTGAATAAAGATTTTCACGTTTGATTCATATCTACTCATGATCAAGTGGCTGACATATTTACTAGGCTTTTGCCTACACGCTGATTTCATCAAATTCGTCCATTATTATGTTTAAAGGCTGCTCCAATATAGGTGTATGGCAATGCAGGGTGTTAGGAGATAAGGTAATTACTATTTTATCTTTATTATCTTTATCTCTTAAAACCTCTTTGAACATAAAGATAATTTTGCTTTATTCTTAGCTAAAGTTAGTTTTTTTTGTAGTTAGCATATTGTTGTATCAAGTTTTTTATAAATACTGCAGTAGACGACAATACAACATATATACAAACTCTAATTCTTCACACATGCTAAGTGAGCATACCCCAAGAGTGGTGTGAAATTAAGTGTAAAATTCAAGAAACTAAATATGAGCATTCATTTTTGATGTGTTGATCCGCAGCCCCAAAACCACAGGGGACCTCTCTACATTCTATATTGAATAGAATTGCTAAACACCTTATCATCGATGATCCTTAAAGATAGTCTAGAGCCTCAAATGTATATCTTTCGAAGGTGAAATATAGTATGGTATACTATTAGGCAAATTCCATAATATTCGAAAATATCATGTTACTGAATGTCTCATGTCCAATTATTCACCATCATTCCTCTTCTACTTTCATCATCACTTCTTTTACGAATTATGCATGGCTACTTCTCTTATGTCTATGCATAATGCATATGCATGCACGTTCATATGAATGTCGCAATACTTATGGCACTGTCATACAACTATATGATAGTATTCCAACTTTTGTACATGTGTAACTGTTGGATTGTGTGCCCATATAGTATAGTTTTGCTGATTTAAAAATGACAATAATTTTTATAATGAATAAAATTATGTTTACTTTATTTATTGTATTATTTATTATTGAGTATGCAAATTAATGTATCTATGATCACTTGAGATAATATAAGTTGAGTACTTGCGTTAAGAAGTACAGTGTGACACAACTTATATTTTGATCATTAATAATTTGTTCACAACTAATATATAAGGGTTGACACCTTGTACCAGAAGTTTGTAGTGTTAATCGATCCACTATTCAGGTTTGTGATTTGTCCTTATCACAAAAATAGTTAAATGTGACACTAATACACTTGGAGAGTATTGAACGGACCACGTGTTGAATTTAATTCTATAGCATGACCGTGCGGAGAATTAAATTCCATTTGACTGCTGTTTATTTCATCTGAATCCCTTGACAGAATTATGTATATCTTTTCATGATTTTAGTTGTTCTTTGACTCATCAATGAGTGAGATAAATTTGATTGGTCAAATATCACAATGAATTGGGAACTTGAGAATGAGCGGAGTAGAAAATATGAATTCGTGCCGGGAACCGTCGCCCTGAAAATGCGTAGAGTGACTACTTGAGTATTTTCTGTTGAACGGTTAAAATCTGAGTTCAGTGTTTAACAACGGCTAAATTTCGACATTTGTGATTTGTTCACAGGACCGTTGAAGAAAGTGAAACTTAAGTTAGTGAGAATAATTAGAGAGGCAAAACGGTCATTTATGCTCGTACTTAATTATCAGATCTCGGATGGGGATAAAATACATATACGACAAATTAGAGGAAAGTATTACAGATTTATTGGCTTTTGTGATCTTATATATTCCAAGGGTTCTCTCTTTTGCTTTAGTGGAAAAAACAAAGACTAATAATTAGATTAAGTGGTCTAGGGTCGACTAGACATGATCTAATTATTGGAACTTGAAAAATATATGTTCGATCAGGTCCCTGTGGTAACTCCATAAAGTATTGGAACTTAATTATGGTAATTATAATAGTTTTGGACTTAATTGTAATTATAACAGTGTTTTGTACTGGGTTGTAATTACTACGAAAGTTATAAACTTCATTGTAATTGCAATTGAAGTTCTAGGACTACACGTGCAATTAAATGTAAACTAATTAGAATCGGACTTAAATTAGAACTCCTACTTGAATTTTAATTAGAACTCTTGTTTGAATATGAAATTATAATTGTATTAGAATTGTATAATCTTTTTCTCTATAAATAGAGATTAGATGGGCAGAAAAATTCTACAACATTCATAATTCAATAAGATTTAAATTTGTAGAAAGAAAAAGAGAGAGAAAATATATTATTTTCTTGTTGTCCAAAATTCAAGAATTAGTTTCTGGATTAATTAAAAGAAGGTGCCCATACATCGGTATAGTTTTTGCGTTGGAGAATACCATAGAAGGCTTGAGGGTTTGAAGCATCAAGATTCTTAATATTAAAGGAGACGAAAGTTCGCGGATCAAAGTTAATTCAAGGTTGATCATTGAACTTAGTTAAAAGATTAGAATCATTTAATTTTGTTATAACATACACGTGAACATCTAGACGATCTTGCTTATTGAATTAAAGAATATTTTAATTTCTAATTAATTCCGCTTTAGCATTCTAACAACTGGTATCAGAGCAATGTAGATCGTTCACGTGCTTGTTATTTCTGAATATTAATTTTATGTTCTAGTCGAGCGATATCTAGGAAAAAAATTTATATGTTAATTGAATGATTTTAAATTGTGAACTAATTATTTGTGGCCAGTTTTCGATGTAATTTGTTATTTCGAGTTTGTAACGAGATAGGTGGATTAAGACTCCATCATCTTGATTTAATTTTCTGTACAATTAGATTCAAAATTTATCAGTCTACGGGACATAAGAATTACGTAATTCTTGTAATTTTTGAATCATGTAAATTAATTGAAAATTGGAGATCGAGACGACGAAGAAATAAAGGTATTGCATCAGATTTAAATAAATAAATAAAAAAAGGTCAGACGGCATCATTACGGATCGGCGGTTTGCAAACGAAGATTGGATTGGCACTCTTTGGTTTCATAATGGACACTTCAGTTTATTGATTTTAATTATGGAAACTTGGGCCAGCGTCAATGTCAATATAGGATGGCGTTTTTTTATTTTTTTAATTATCAAGGTATGTGATAAAGTTAATCTTTACTGCAAATTGAAAAACAACGTGGTGGGCACAAGCATTATCAACTTTCAATTGAGGCAGAAGTGCTGGATCAATTCCTATATATGCGGATCAATTTTTCAAGAATCAATCGTGTTCAGAAAATTTTCGAGTTATGTTAGTTGAGCTTTAGTGTTTGAGTTGCCACTGCTGGATCCTTGGAGATTTTGGACTAAAAATTTAGATTAAATATTGAGTTTAGGTCCAACTAGTTTTTTTAAATTTATTTCTTGAGTCGTTTTTCGGTCACAAATAATTGTTATTTTTATCTCTTTATGAATGCTTTAAATTATTTTTTGAAATATTTGTCATTCTTGATATCATGACGTATAGATTTATTTATGACATCGCTCGTGATACTATGAATAGGATGTATAGCATTAAACATGGATTTTTCTTTGATTAATTTAATTTAAATTAAATTTTTCTGAATAGAGAAATCATAATAATTACACTGTATATTAATTTAATTAATATGAACAGTTGGTAATTGTTCAATTAAAATCAATTATTCTAAAAGATTGAGTGGGAGAGGATGTTTATTTAAATAAAAACCCACAGTTTTCTTTGGTCAATCCATAAGTAAAGTAACGCGCTTGCCTCGTGCTGGTAATGCAACGGACTCCCTATAGGAAAGCCACGTGGTTCAAGTTGCTTTATTGGATTTCTTTATGATAAAATCGTCTAAATAGAATATAATTTGTAATCATCCTATAGATGGCGAAATTATTTTCAAGTGTTTAGAGATTGAGACAAAGGTTGTACACTCAAATCGAAATTATCTATGAACCTCCATAGAGGCTCTCGTTTATAATTTTGGTGACCAAATAAAACGATGCTAAGCTTAATATAAACATTTGTTATCATATATTTTGTTTAGTAGGAGGGTCTCAACTTGATTAGTGGACACATTGACCTTTCATATAGAGAGGCATGTTGGATCACAAGGATCAAGTCATCGTTGCATTATTGTAGTTAGATAGATCTACACATGCATTCATGCATTATATGCTAAATTGTCATTCGTTGCTCAATTTTTAATATGCAATAAATTGTTATTTTTCAGCAAAATATCTCTCAGCGCTTTTTTCGTTATTCTAAAACAAAAACAACTTGTCGGGGATAATTATGTGGATTGGAAACGTAATTTGATTTTGTGCTTATTGTCGAAAAACTTGATTTTATGCTCGAAGAGGAATGTCCTGAGGTACCTACTAAGACTACATGCAAGTCCAAGAGGGCTGCGTACGATAAGTGGATCACTACTGATAAGATGGCTTGCTGTTATATTTTGGCATACATATCAAACGTGTTATAGTAAAAGCTTGAAAGTCAGGAGACCTCTTATGACATACTAGAAAGCCTGAATGGCATGTTTGGACATCAAAGTAGGAGGGTTCGCTTTGAGGCCAGTCGTACCTTACAGAACATCCACATGAAACTCGGAATGCCTATGAAGGATCATATGTTAACTATGATTGCACACTTCAATGTGGCAGAGAATCTGGGTGTAACTATTGATCAGGAAACTCAAGTTGATATGATGTTGAATTCTTTATCTGATATGTTTTCACAATTTACTGTGGACTATCACTTGCACAAGATGAATATGCCATTAACTGAGTTGATGAATGACTTGCAAAATGTGGAAAGTGGTCTCAAGGTTAAGGGTAGCCATGCTCATACGGCAATTGTTAGCTCCTTTAGCTCCAAGTCAAAAGGCGGAATTGGAAAGAAGAGAAAGAGATCTAACAAGAAGCCAGGAAGCAACAAAAAATCCAAATCAAATGGAACGCCGAAAGCAAGTGTTTCCACTATGGTCGCAAATGACACTGGAAGAAAGACTGCCCTGATGCACTAGCTGAAAAGCTGGGTGTTGGTGAGTTTTTTATTGTTGAGTCATGTTTGGTGATTGATTCTACAAATTCCTGGGTTGTAGACTTTGGAGCCACTAATCATATATGCATGTCTATGCAGGTGATTTAGGAGAGCAGAAGACTCAATGATGGCCAGTTTAAAATTACTGTCGGCACAAGAGCTATAGTTTCAACAAGAGCAGTAGAAGCAGTTTACTTTTATTTCAATAGTGGTAGGCGTTTAATTCTTAAAGACTGTAATTATGTCCCGCGGATGAAGCGGAATTTGATTTTTGTTTCTTGTTTAATAGGACAAGATTATTTTATAAACTCTGCTCATGATGCTCTTTATATTCTAAAGAATAAAGCTCCTATTTGTGCCGGATATTTGGTGAATGGCCTTTATATTTTAAATTGTACTACAAATGAAATAAATGTTACTTCTGCAAACCATGAACGAATGTCTAACCATACTAGTGATACTTATTTACAGCATCTTAGACTTGGACATATTAACCTTAATAGGATACAAAGATTGGCTAGAGATGGTCCACTTATCACACTCAAGGTCAAACCATTGCCAGTTTGTGATTTTTGTTTGGAGGGTAAAATGACCAAAAGATCCTTTCTAGTAAAAGGACATAGAGCCAAAGAAGTATTAGACTAGTTCATTCTAATGTATGTGGACCCATGAATACACCTGCGAGAGGGGGTTATGAGTATTTTATTACTTTTACCGATGATTACTCTAGATTCAGATACATCTACCTAATGACTCGAAAGTCAGATGCTTTTGAAAAATTCAAAGAATATCGGGTTGAGGTCGAGAAACATTTGGGTAAGAGTATTAAGACACTTCGATCAGATCGAGGTGGCGAATATCTCTCGGGAGAATTCAGGGTCTACTTGATAGAAAGTGGTATTGTTTCTCAACTGAGTGCGCCGAGTACACCCCAACAGAATGGCGTTTCAGAAAGGAGAAATAGGACATTGTTAGACATGGTTAGGTCAATGATGAGTTTCGCAACTCTACCTACCTCATTTTTGGGATATGCACTGGAAACAACAGCATATGTTCTTAACTTAGTTCCCTCTAAGTCGGTTTCAAAGACTCCCCTGAAATTATGGAATGGGCGCAAGCCTAGCTTACGTCATATTCGAATTTGGGGATGTCCGGCTCATGTGCTGAAAGAGAAGACATAGAAGTTGGAATCTAGATCAGAGATATGCCTATTTGTAGGATACCCTAAAGCTACCAAGGGATATTATTTTTATAGTCATCTAGATAGGAAAGTCTTTGTCAGTACAAATGCCACTTTCCTAGAGGATAAGTATATTAATGAACGTCAGTCCAAAAGCAAGGTCGTGTTGGAAGAAATGAGTGGGAGCAATTCCACCACATCGATTCCTGAAATACAATCTTATGACAGACAACCCTTGGTGTCAAATATACCTAAACAATGTATTTTGAGTGGAAGAGAAGAGTCATCCAATCCCATGGATCAAGTAAACGTTGAAGGTATTGAGGAGGTAATGGAACCACCTAATGGTGATACCAACATTGATACAAACGTTACAATTCCAAATGATGCCACAATCCAGGATCCATCGCCCCTTAGACAAAGTCAGAGGGTTATCAGACCACCTTCTAGGTACTTGTTAGTTGGAGAGTCCAATCAGGCGATCTCCACAATACAAGTTGATGACTCGACTACATATAAGGAGGCCATGAATGATGTGGATGTAGATTTATGGCAACAAGCTATGAATGCTGAAATAAAATCTATGCATTCCAATCAGGTTTGGGAACTTGTAGATGCACCAGAAGGGATAAAACCCATCGGGTACAAGTGGGTCTATAAGATAAAGAGAGGAGCAGACAGGAAAGTGGAAACTTTCAAAGCACGGCTAGTGGCTAAGGGTTTTACCCAACGAGAAGGCATCGATTACGAGGAGACCTTTTCGCCTATGGCTATGCTTAAGTCTATCCGGATTCTTTTATCCATTGCAGCTCATTTTGATTATGAGATGTGGCAAATGGATGTCAAGACAACCTTTTTGAATGGCCATCTTGAGGAATGTATCTATATGGTACAACCAGAAGGATTCATAGAGCCTGGTCATAAAGACAAAGTCTACAAGCTTCAGCGTCCATTTATGGGTTGAAGCAAGCATCAAGATCTTAGAATAAGAGCTTCGACGAAGTGATTAAGACATATAGTTTTGATCAGAACTTTGACGAACCCTGTGTCTATAAGAAGATACAGGAGAAAATTGTAATTTTCCTCATGCTATATGTGGATGATATTCTACTCATTCGAAATGATGTTGGAGCATCATCGTCTACGAAAGTGTGGTTGGCCCAACAGTTTCATATGAAGGACTTAGGAGAAGCTAGCTATGTTCTAGGCATTCAGATCTTAAGAGATCGAAAGAACAAGTAGATAGCTCTATCCTAAGCTTCATATACTGATAAAATACTTGTCAAATTTGCCATGCAAGATTCCCAGAAATGTAATTTACCTTTCAGGCATGGAATCCAACTCTCCAAGGATCAGTCACCTAAGAATCCTGAAGAGGTAGAACGCATAAGTAAGATACCTTATGCATTGACAGTTAGCAGTCTCATGTATGCTATGCTGTGTACTAGACCTGACATTTGTTATGCTGTTGGTATGGTGAGTCGATATCAATCTAACCCTAGACGGGAACACTGGGTAGCTGTAAAGCATATCCTGAAGTATCTTCAAAGGACAATGAATTACATGCTAGTTTACTCATCACCAGATCTTGTTCCAGTGGGTTATACAGATTAGACTTCCAGGCTGATAAGGACTCTCGCAAGTCTACATCAGGATCATTGTTTACACTTGGTGGTTGGGTCATTATTTGGAGAAGTATCAAACAATCATGTATTGCTGATTCCACCATGGAGGCTGAGTATTTGGTAGCTTGTGAAGCAACTAAAGAAGCGGTGTGGCTGAAAAAATTCCTAACGAATATCGAGGTGGTGCCTACATCTATGCAGCCCTTGACACTATACTGTGATAATAGCGGGGTAGTGGCAAATGCTAAAGAACCAAGGAGTCATCAAATGGGTAAACATATTGAACGAAAATATCATCTCTTGAGAGAGATAGTTAATAGAGAAGATGTGACTGTCAGTAAAATTGCTATTAGGGATAACCTTGTGGGTCCATTTACAAAGAGCCTACCGGCTAATGTTTTTAATGGACATCTGTAAGGCTTGGGTTTACAGGACATGACACATATATTCTAAGGCAAGTGGGAGATTTGTTGGGTTGTGTGCCCATATAGTATAGTTTTGTTGATGTAAAAATGACAATAATTTTTATATTGAATAAAATTATGTTTACTTTATTTATTGTATTATTTATTATTTAGCATGCAAATTAAAGTGCCTATAATCACTTGAGATAATATAAGTTGGGTACTTGTGTTGAGAAGTACAGTGTGACATAACTTATATTTTGATCATAAATAATTTGTTCACAACTAATGTATAAGGGTTGACACCTTGTACTGAAAGATTGTAGTATTGACCGATTCATTATTCAGGTTTGTGATTTGTCCTTATCACAGAAATAGTTAAAGGTGACACTAGTACACTTTGAGTGTATTGAACGGACCACGTGTCGAATTTAATTATATAGCATGATAGTGCGGAGAATTAAATTTCATTTGACCACTGTGTATTTAATCTTAATCACTTGACAGAATTATGTATATCTTTTCGTGATTTTAATTATTCTTTGATTCATCAACGGGTGAGATAAATTTGATTAGTCAAATATCTTGATGAGTTGGGAACTTGAGAATGAGCGGAATAGAGAACATAAATTCGTTTCAGGAACCATCGCCCTGAAAATGGGTAGAGTGACTACTTGAGTATTTTCTGTTGAACGGTTAAAATCTGAGCTCAGCTTTTAGCGACGGCTAAACTCGACATCTGTGATTTTTTTACAAGACCGTTGAAGAAAATGAAACTTAAGTTAGTGAGAATAATTAGATTGGCAAAACGGTCATTTATGCTCGTACCTAATTATCGGATCTCGGATGGGGATAAACTACATATACGACAGGTCAGAGGAAAGTATCACAGATTTATTGGCTTATGTGATCTTATATATTTCAAGGGTTCAGTCTTTTGTCTTTAGTAGAAAAAGCAAATACTAATAATTAGATTGAGTGGTCTAGAGTCGACTAGACAGAATCTAATTATTGGAGCTTGGAAAATATATACCTGATCAGGTCCCTGTGGCAGCTCCATAAAGTATTGGAATTTAATTACGGTAATTATAATAATTTTGGGCTTAATTGTAATTATAACAATATTTTGTACTTGGTTGTAATTACTATGAAAGTTATAAACTTAATTGTAATTGTAATTGAAGTTTTATGACTACACGTGCAATTAAATATAAACTAATTAGAATTGGACTTAAATTAGAACTCCTACTTGAGTTTTAATTAAAACTCTTATTTGAATGTGGAATTATAATTGTACTAGAATTGTATCAGCTTTTTCTCTATAAATAGAGACTAGATGGACAGAAAAATTCTACAACATTCATAATTTCATAAGATTCAAATTTGTAGAGAAAAAAAGTGAGATAAAATATATTATTTTCTTGTTGTCCAAAATTCAAGAATTAGTTTATGGATTAATTGAAAGAAGGTGCCCACACACCGATGTAATATTTGTGTTGGAGAATACCATAGAAGGCTTGAAGGTTTGAAGCACCAAGATTCTTATAATTAAAGGAGACGGAAGTTCGTAGATCTGAGTTAATTCAAGGTTAATCATTAAACTTAGGTAAAAGATTCAAATCCTTTAATTTTGTTATAACATACACGTGAACATCTAGACGATCTTGCTTATTGAATTAAAGAATATTTTAATTTCTGATTAATTCTGCTTTTGCATTCCAATAGTAACACATTGTATAGTTAAATCATATCTTGAATACTTCAATTGTGTGCA